TATTCTCCTCAGTTATGCTACCGAAAGGAATTCAAAAATCTCTGCATGACATTTGTTATCAATTATTATAAATCCTCCATTTGAGAAGCTCCATCTACATCTGCTAAGTCTCAGCTGAAGCCACAGGAATAACTGTTCTGCTGGGGCCCAAGTTACACCGATCGGACACAATGGGTCACCCACCCAGGCTGACACCATTCACCAAGTAGTAACCACCACTTCATAACAGCAAAGCAAGCATCTCTTCTAACATGCTGTCATTCTAGCAACTCTTACTGCAACCAGTTTTAAGTAATTATGCTCCTTAGACTCCTTCCTAGATAGGAGATTCTGCTAGAATAATAATTACACAGTGAGTCTTTTCACTAAATTCCCTTTGAATAACCAAATTTTCTTTCATGACTTTCAACAGAAGACCAAATAAAATTTCAGGAAAATGTTTATGCTGCTTCTTGGAAGTTTCTGCCTATACATAATTGGAAACTTATGGACAACCTCAATTATCCAAAAACATTTGTACAGAGTCAGCACAGTAAAACAGGAAATTTTTTTTGATACAAAACTCCAATAGGGAAACCGCCCAAATTCAATAGGCAATATAATTTGAGCATTACTGCAACAGTGTACAGAATATGCAGATCACTGTGATCCATGCTGAGAGTTTTAAAATTTGATTAAATAAATATATCTGGTCCCTCAAAATAAGAACCACCAGATACATTTTCACTTCGGACACCATGACACCAACGTCACCAAATGATGTCTGGCAGATCCTTATTAACACGTTAATACAGGACTAGAGACAAATGGACCTTTTATAGATGAGAAGAAAGGAGGATGGACAAACATCTTCTCATTCTCTTCTGGTCTTCCAAGGAAAAATGGCTCACACGGACTGCAGGGCACAACACACGCATCTGGCATCACCCTCAACCTCACAACAATTCCCTACAAAGATCAGTAGGAGAAACACTAACTTCCACTCAAATCCAATGAAACAAGAAAGAAAGGGTGCCTAAAAACCTGCCCTTCTTCCCAAGGAAAGCACACACCAAAATATTCCCTCACCCCCAATAGTGGCCCAAGTAAACGATGGCTGTGCACAGCAAAGCCAGGAGGAAGAACTGTGCGGGCTGTAGGAAAAGGGAGCAGAAGAAAAGGGAATGTTAGAAGAAGAGATACTGATGAACATTAAAGAGTGACATAAAAGGGAGTAGCGGAGCAATAATTCTATCACCACCTCTGCCACAATCATCTCCTATGGTCTTGGGAAAAAATTCTTAAACTCTCCTTGGTGTCTGTCTGCAGAACGCTGCTGTTTCCCTGTTTCACACATATCCTGCCAAGTGCTCAGACATAAACCTTCTATAGCAAGATATGCACTTCCACTGAATAGCACGCAACTATTTTTAACTTCTCATTTATAACAGTTTAAATGAACCGCTTTAAATGAGACACAGTGAACGTAAACCTAAGTATTAAATAACTGCTTCCTTTACTAAGTTCTGTCATTCCTGTGCAATGAATGAGGCGGGGGATCCTGTGGAAAAAAATAGAACGTAAATCTATAATTAAATACACACGCGCAATAGGGAAAAAATTAAAGAGCATTAAAAACATTAATTTGGGCATTTCCTAATTCCTCACTGCTTCATTTTACAGTTACAAATTAGTCGCTGGCCTCCTACTCCTTGCAGAGAAAAATTCACGCTAAAAAAAAAGGTATTTTGGAATGCGGAATAATTTTGAGGAGAAATGGGACATATCACTATCTTCAACAGTGAATGAGACAGAAATCTCAGATGTTATTCTATATGCATCCTTTCCTATGCAATATATCGACTCTGTTTTACAAGCCTCTGTAGATATATCAGGACTGAAACACGATACAAACTGCATGTGCATCAATCCAACAGAATAATGAGAATCATTTATTCAGCAGAAGTTTCCACTCAGATTAAATGCTTTCATTCTCCAAGCCAATGAAATATTGGAGGTCGGTTAGTTTAACTGTGCAATGTATCCCATTCACAAAATGAAACTGCAAAAAACCCCCAAAGTTTCACTGAAGCAGACTGGCAATCAAGGAGATCCTTCCTTTCAAATACCAAGCTTTCAACACCTTCAATGATGGTGAGAACAGCCAAAAATCTCAGCTACCTGAAAAGCTACATTTCCCCCAATCTATTTCTTGTTGTGGGCTTTTCTTTTTAATGACTTATCCATATCTAATAAAATTTTCAGGAAACAGGATTTGTTCCTTGCCTGGACTCACTGAAATGACAAACTGAGCAAATTCAAAGAATCTGAACTAACCCATGGAAAAACTGGAGTGGCTTTAGCACAGGCACTGCAACTTACTCTCTCTGAAAATAAGAAGTGTTTACGGAGTTTAAAACATATACACAAAATTTTACTCTGATTCATTATTAGAAATAATGGATTATTAAGAACAAAGCAAAGTGATGGCTAACTGCCATCTGTCATCAGAGAACCTAAATTAAATCTCGTGTACTGAAACGCTGCTCCTGATACAGAAATATATTTAGATCTAACAACCTAAAGCAGTTTCCTGATTTTTCCACTCACAGTAGGTATCTATTATTAGTAATAGGAGTTAGTTTTCCAAATAGGGCATGTGAATTTATCTTTTCTGGCTTTAAGAACAAATACTTTAAAGAAACATACTGAAAAAGTGCTGTTTGCTGCTTTAGGTATGTATTGTTTCATGGTTGCAATGTTAAATGTAAAATGATCAGAGTCAGAATTTCTGTAGATTCCGGCTAAACAGTAAGAAAACATGTTTAGAAGAGGGACTTAAAACATAATACAGATGTCAAAAATACAACAAAAAAAATTATCTCAGAGACCCAAATTACTTCTGCTTTGTATATCAGAAGACATCTCTAGCAGGACAAGCCTAAACTAACGAGAGGCACTAGTTAGAGAAAAAAATATAAAAATTATTTCAGCAGTATATATTTTAAACCCTGACTTGAAAGCTCCTTAAAATCCGCGATCAGTGAAAGAACTCAATCTACAGGTGTGGGATCTCTCCTCTCCGGTTATTAAGAAGTTAAGTTCACTCAGCATTTTTATTTCTAACTGGAGAGACTTGAAGTCACAGTTTAGACCTCTTTTCTTATTCCTCCTCTATGAAAATGACGATACTTAGATGTGGTGAATGCTTTTGTTCTTTCAAAGGTAATCCGGAAGACAGACAGCTACAGGCAGGTTAAAAATCACTGTACATGTGTAGCGACTTGTTTTTAAAGGTTTTTAAACATAATGCCCCCCTATCTTTCCATCAAATACTATTACAAGCTGCTTTTGCTGAATCTTTCTAGCAGCCTTATAGCACACAGTGCACCACGAGCTGCATGGCCCGAGGCCAGGAAGGAAGGTGTGGAACACGTCTTCACAGGTCCATTTCCACTCTCCAAGTTTTCAAGTATTTGAAAGGACGTCGTGTTACAGCACAGATTTACATAGCAGACAAATTACATGACTGCCTGTTCGCAGCATTTCATAATTTCAATAAAAAATTAGGTCAAATGAAAGGGGGGGGGGAGAATAACCCTATCCCTTAACAGTAGTCAGAAAATTAAACCAAAAAACTTACTTGCCTGTGGATCTTGCCAAAACATTGGTAAAAATCAGTATTGACAGCAAACCCAAGTTTGAAGTATTTGATTTACCATTCCTTTCCAAAATTCTCTTCTTTTTAAATGCCTCAAAACAACCATAAACAAACCCCAAATATGCTGTATTGCTCTTTTAAGAAACTGTTTTTATTATCATTAATCCAAAACATATATATTTTTACAAACATGCATATTATCAAGGAAAGTGTTATTCATTTCAAGAGCTTTCACCCAGTCTGACAGTCTAGTAGGAGTGTTCAGAGAGGGAACCGTTCTTTGTATTGTCTGTCTGGATGAAAAGAAGAACAATTTGGAATAGCTTTTTCCCCCTCATAGCCTGAAATACAGTGCACTCGAAAAAGGTCAGTATGGGCCAGCCTCAGCACTGACATGTTTATACTAGACGGAGACTAAAATTACTATGTTCATATCTGGCATTCTTTTGGTACAAATTGGCAAAGTAATTAATTTTAAAAGGCTTTTCAGAAAACAATAGTACGATACTTTCAGGATAACAGCAAAATACTTTCCAAGAGCAGCTAAGGATATTATAATGTGAAACAACAAATTTAGAAGTGGTCAGGTATGTACCCACACAGCTTTATTTCCCTTAGCTTGCAAGACTAATTACTTGCACACAAATTCCTACCAAGATCATACAGCTTACAGTTAAAATATGCTAATCGTTATCCTAGATAGCTTTTAGGATTTGTTTCAGCACAGTCAAGCAGCTGTAGGGTTTAGACTGGCATACTGCTGATACTCTTTACTGAGCAAGCAGAAAGAATAAACAGGAACAGAGGAATGACTGGCTTCAGTAACTTCAACCGGACTCTATTTCAGTTTCTAAAAATGACAAATATGAAATCTGATTTACTCTCAGCAGTAAGAAAAAAGTTTTAAGCTGATATATTTTTAAAAAGGATTGTAGTTTTAATGAACTCCTGAACAGATTTTTGAAGACAGATTCACCGTGTTAACCAGTTTTTGGTACCTATTCAACTAGCAAAAAGAGGAAAGAGAACTTTTTGTGGAATCTGACATTTTCTCTATTTACCAACACAAACTCTGAAGGATGAATTTTACCAAAAGCTTCAGCTTAGCATGCTGTAGTGCTGCAGCTAAAAATTCAGATGAAAGAATATGGGAGTTTTTTTATCTATGACACAAAAGGAACTTTTGGGAACATTTCCGAAGGATACCAGAAATCTTGTCTAACATACAATGGTTCCTACTCAGCACAGCCCTCCAAACAAAGAGTAACAGATGCACAACTGGTATTAATAACAAAACATCTCCTCCCTCTGTTAGTCAAGAGAGGACAGCTAAGGACAAACACAGTTTCAGGGTACTTACCTACTCGGAAGTTAGTGGCTGTCAGAGTATCAGCAGCGTGGCCGTTTTCACTAATGAGGGTGGTGGTATTTCCCTTCTCACAGTTGTTCTGACAGTTGCCTTTGGTACAAGTCACTTTACAGATGCTGGGTGTAAAGACCACCTTGATGCGACCAGTGTGATTTCCCACTGTCAGCGGAGGCAAAGAAAAAAAGAAAAATAAACAGATCACTTTGGTATCCATTGATTTCCTTCAAAAAGTTTTGAGAAAAAAAAAAAAAAAGGCGGAGGAGGGGGGGGGAAAGGCGACAGGTCTACAGGAGGAGGGCAGTCTGCAGTGCTCTCTCTCATAGATCTCCAGTGGTGTCTCTGAAACAGGAGTAGGAAACTTAGCAAACAGAACTCCGGGATCCGCTCCAAAACCACATTTAAAGTCAAGTCACTGGAGTGGGATTAGTAATCACAATGCTGCACTTTATTCACAGGCAGACAAAGAGCAATACCAAGGGCATGACAGCTTAAATAGCCAACCCTGACAGGCAGATGTAATGTAAAGAGGCTGGCTGTGCACCTAGGGGTGAATAAACTCTTGTGTCCTCCTGCATACTTTTCCTGTTTCTGCACTTATTAAGTCACTATTTGTAGCTCGACCCCTGGAAACGTTTTAGGCATGCGGCATGTCTGAAAACATCTGTCTCAAATCTCCTGGCACCCCAGCCCAAAGTGGTCAAACCTTGTGACGCAGCTGCCTGGACCCGGTTTTTTCACAGTTTTTTGGCACTATTTTCCACAAGGATTTACATATTATAGCCTGAGCTTTGCTGTCAGCCTTTGTTTAAGCAATAAATAGCTCAGTCAGAAGAAAGGGTGAGGTAAGTATCAATACTTGAAAACACTGGTTCTGAGCTCAAAGACAAAAAATGGCTAAATTATCTTTTTTTATATACTTCCTTACAGTCATTTTAAAATCTGTAAAATTTTTTTTTAAATGCAATTAAGACTGAGCAAACACTGATTTTAAATGAAGCTCATTAGAAGAACTTGTTACAGAATTTGATTTTAAAACAGATTTATTTGATTCCACATCTAACAGCTGAAGACAAAAGAGAGATTAAAAGTATTCATTAGGAAAAAACAGGGGAAAAGAACAGATTCCATTTGCAGTTATTTAAAAAGAAAACAGTTTGTTCTTTGCACTCTTACTATAGAAATTCTGCAAGTTCTTGTAAATATATCACAGCATCTTGGTGGAAACTATTAACAAATACTTTAATATCAAACCTAACAATCCCAAGAAATGACATGCAGAAAGAGAAGAATCTCCTTCCTCATGTTATAGAAATAAAAAAAGTTGCTAGACAGTTGTCTAACCTACTTTATGAAATACCCTCTGGACAGACATTTCTTTGAAAATCTCAAGAAAATGAAGAAAATCTTCCCACTTCAAAAGAATATAAAGCCTTCTTATTTCTGGCTCTTCATAAACAAATAAATTAAAGCAATTGTGCCAACTGTTTTGTCTACAGTAAAGGCATTGCTCTATTTGAACAGCAGCTGTAGTACAGATGCTCCTACCTTATTCTCCCTAAACAACAGCTAGAAAAAGCACAACCCAGACAGACACAGGAATAAGATTTTGCAACTAAAGTCTAGTATTGTGATTTTACTCAATTTAGAAGACACTCTGGATTCTTGGATGCCAAGCATTCCTTACAAAAATTATTAATACACCTTTCCCAATGAACAGACCTAAGTGGCTTGAACTGCTGAGGCCAGAACTTCCAAGTTTTCCTTCTGTTAAACACAGCTTCACAAGCAATATTGCCATCTTTGTATTTTATTTGCATAGTTTTATATATATATATATATATATCTTTTGCTAGAAAAGCCCAATCCATTCTATATTTTGTATTTTCAGATGTTTTAGCAACATTTTTCCTTTAGGATGTGATCTAATTAAAAAAACATGGTTAGTTGAGTCACAAAAGTCAGTCCTGCCTACACTGTAAAAACTAGTATTGGGGGACCCACACAAGTTTTCCAACTTAGGTTAAAAAAAAAAAAAGTTGGCTTTGCCACTATAGATGGAACGAAACCATGATTTAACTCTCCTTCATAGTATTCCACACTATGTTGTTGAGTGCTGAGCTACAGCAAATTTTGGTAACAATGTTTGTAACAAAACCCATCATTTGAAAAATAATTTTTATCATGTAGTTCAAATGTTATCAGAAAAAAAATCTGTAGCATCATTTTTTTGGTAGAAGTGATGCTTTAGGATGAGACTGAATGGAATTGTAAATTCGCCTCTCACCCCTTTTGGGTCAAAAAATGTTACGTTAAGTTTGGGAGTAACAGCATAGGAACAGCAGTTGAACAGTACCTTCAAAAACACAGGTCAGTATCTACAGAGATAAATAGCATCCATGAAACAATATTTAAATGCAACTTTTCAGATAATTTAGTCCGAAAAACAATGTTGTGTAAGCCTTAGCACCTACAAACATGAAAATCACTATTCAGCAATGCTTTTGCTATAAACCAAATCCAATTCTCACAGATATTCCTGTGTTACTAGTTGCAAAGAGACAGAAATAAGACAGTTTCATATTGTTTTGACACGTGAAGATTTTTCTCCATCTTTCTCAGATTTATGAAAACGAGAATGAAACTATTATTTTCTTCTCCTTGCCTAACTTCATCGATCCTTCTGGAGACATTTAGGAAGGACACAAAACTGATGATGGCCTCTGAGCTGAGAAAGGACCAACGTACGAGGGGGTGACTCAAGGCAAAGCCATTACCTTCATCCTTCTCTGTAGTCATACCTAAATAGCCAGCACTATCCTCACACACCCTGAGGTTCAGGGACCTTAACCGTGAGCATCATACATACAGATTTAAACTGAAAACAGACCGCAACCCCTTCTCCTGCAAGGAAGCTTTTGGCAGAAACTCTGCAAGGTTAGGTGCTCGGACTTCCCTGAATCCTCTCATTTTCTTCTCGTCTGTATTTCCCTCCCACCCTTCTCCAAAGAGGGGATGATTTAATTTTAAGTGAGAAACTATATCCTACAATATCTCTTAGCTGGTTTGGCATTTTAAGGTTAGAAAGCACAGTTTCAACCTGGAAAAAGCACATTAGTACTATAGCCGTGACCTCTTCTGGTTTTGGGCTAGTTCATATTAAAGAAGGACAATGCATTTTTTTTTTTTTTTAGGTAGCATACAGATGATTTTCCTTTTTAAACTCCCGAAGCTTTACTGATGATGCCACTGTGACATAAACATGACAAGATTTGCAATTTAGATTATCTCAAATTCATTTCTGGAAAAAAATGATGGTGCTACAACACTGCAACATACCTGGAATAATTTTTTTTTCTATATAGACAGAAGTGTATCATAAACTCTTCAAAACCAATTTTAAATATGTGGAAATGAAACACCTCACTCTGCTCTTAAGTATAACACCAGACTGAAGAAATAAATGAGACCAGATAAATAAATGACCCAAATGAAAGACAAGAAAAGCCGAAGATACAAAAACTGAATAAACTGCAAAGCTAGTGAAAAAAATTGCAGAACTAGAGCTAAACTTAGATTGTCGTCTTAATAAAAACTGGACAATCAAGATAACTAATATTGGCTAAAGCTTCATCCCTGAGCTAGGCAGCACACTGACAACAGGGAGGCTCAGCCAACTGTGCCATCATCCTGCCTCGCAGTCCTGGCTCCCTTATACTCAAGAACTCTTCGATATATTTGTCAAAGGAGATCAGTAGAAGAATGCACCCATAATTTCCAAAATCTGTGAAACTCTCTTGAGCCAGATTCAAAAAGAAAGATGCCTGGATAAAGTGACGAGACTTTAGTTGAAAATTGGCACTGCCCGTATGTGATTTTGTTTCCATCTCTGTAAGTCACTATGATACAATATTAGGAACACAGCAAGCTCCTGCTGTGATAAATTTATGATCTAACAACTGCAGGAGAAATGGAAAATATAAGCAAAAGGATTTCTTCATAGAATCCCTTCTGTGCCCACTGTCCATCACGACAAACTGACTTTTTTTCATTAGTAGAAAAGGTGAATGAGTCAAGACAAGGCAGGTGGCAGGTTTCAGGTCCAGGTGGCCACCACAGCTCACACGGCCATGCCTGGGCAGAGTTGTATAAGGGGAAGGATTCCTCCTCAACCTCCTGGGTCCCTTGGTCTGTAATGCTACTCAGCCTTCATTTCCTTCTAGAAGAATTTCTATAAACATGTCTTTTTCTTGGTTTTATGGCCACCCTCACAGCTCCAGGACTCTGCAAAGATTTAACTAGACAGTATTCAATAGCTGTAAGTGGATCTCAGAAGATTTGTGGCATGTCCCTGTTCCGCGGGAAGACAATGGGCTAGCAACAGTAGTGAAAGCAGAACTGGTATCCAGTTAAAGAGACAACTACATGGTACTGTCTCATAGGTCAAGTGGGGCGAAGAGACGAAAATATTTTAATATGTTGAAAAAATTATTATGTTATTGTGCATATGATGTTTTCATGCTTCACAGTGATCTAATCAAAAGGGTTCACAATAAAAATCACAAGCAATGGCTTACACTGGGGACTTGGCTGGTAGAGCTTACGCATACCTCTCCCATAGTCCTTGCACACAACTTCCTTTTTTTAATACCTTCACTTATGACAAATATCCTGAAGCAAATCTCCTGAGGAAAAAGAACCAAGCAAACTGTAGGCTTTCCATTAGTACCTCCAAGAATTATATACACTCTGTTTTCATGACACCCTACTTCTGCGCTGAACCCAGTATGTGCATCTGCAGAGAATCCCATCAGACCTGAAGATTCTATCTTAAAAGAATTACATTCTCTTCCCAAAGACAGTAGATTTTGTGATGGTGTTATTGCAGGCAATTTCATGTTTTCAAATTATAACCATGATGCACGAGAACTTTGAAATGAAAATCTATCTTCTCATATCAAAGTGATAAGCTTTTAAACATGAAATAGATTCAACATCTTAAATTCTCAGATGACCGACTCTGTATTTTTTTTCTTAATTAAATGCTGACAGAAAAAAAAAATAAAATAAGGAAGCAGAAGGAAATTAATTATTTGTCAGGTCATCCAGGGAATCTGTAGATGCCCCATCCCTGGAGGGGTTCAAGGCCAGGCTGGATGAGG